CATACATATACATATACACTAAACAAAACTAAATATGCGGAATTAAGTCCATTTAGCGCCATTCCTCGCATAAGTAAACCTTCGCAAAGGCTGCTCATGCAAGAAATCAATTTAAACTAACTTGAGTCTAGTTGGATTAACCATAATCCTTAGTAAATTATTGCCGAAAATTTGATTTATTAATTTGAATTATAATTTTAATAAAATTATTATATTATGGTCAATAAATAATTGTATTGTGATTTGATTGAAAACAAAAAATAAAAGAAAACTGTGGGAATATGGACAAGCTTGTACAATCTCAACTTGGATTATAAGGGACCAAAATTTGTGGCTTATAATTTTGGAAGTTAAGTGGAATGGCGAAACTAAATCTAGTTGACAGCTGTTATTCAATCGAGTGACTCAAATCTGACTATGCAAAACCTGGAGCTGAATCCAATCTCATTCAAAAAAGTATCTCGATCGACAATTGAATTAAAAGTAGCTCAATTATAGTCATTCAAAATTTTATAGTGATATATTTCCGAAACGATTAAGACGTTGGCAAAGACCGATGAACAGTGATTGCGCCCTTAGGCAAAAAAAAAATAAATAAAAATAAATAAAAGTTGCCTTCATAAGGGGAGTCAGAGAAGGGGCTGTAACTCTGGGAGGGAGCTGAACATGGGCGGGTTTTTTTTTTTTTGCTTTTCTTAATTATTATATTTTTCTTGAATTTCGAAAAAAGTTTTGGATTTTTATCTCCACTAGAAGTATTTTTGGCCACTCGCTTCATATAACCCCGATCACTGTGCAGAGAAAGCCTTGTTAACAAATATTTGTCTATCACTTAAGCTGCTTTGTGGAATTCAAAAAAAAAAAAAAAAGTGGTTTTTGAGGTAGTCAAATGTCTAGTTTAATCGAGTGATAAATGCTTGACCTAGCTTCAGTCACACTCCGATGCTGACTAATTTCCGAAATTTATTTGGAAAATATTAAAATTTCGACATCGATGGCAAACGATAATTGTGAAACTTACGAGTCTAAATTATTAATTAGTATATATATGTATATGGAGGAGTTTGAAAATCCTTCTGAAAAATATGCGAGTCAGACACATGGAAATTGCAATGCGACAGATATCGGATATCATGCGATGTTGCTTGAATGCATTTCCATGCCGTGATTCAAAGTAAATAAAACATATTTGAAATCAAATTAAAATTACATTTTGCAACATAAACAAATGGCAAACGGCAAACAGCAAACTGAAACAGAAACAGCAGTCAAAACGTCTCTCTCTCTCTCTCCCTCTCTCTCTTTCACACTCCCTCTCTCTCTCACGATGCAGTCTATTTGCCTTTGTTATCGTCGAGTTGACTTTCCCAATGCTCATTTATGCTTAAAATAATGTGGACCCGAAATTAATTGGACGCTAATCGGCTAAATTGCGTTTCGCCTGTTTGTATGCAATTAAATTGTTGGCTAAAGTGAATCGAGATAATTTCGTGCTGCAGGTAATTCGTGCTCGCATTCCAAAACTCAAACAAAGCCTCATGGAGCACGTTACGCACACTCGGCACGCCGGCCATAATCCATTGAACACGTACGCCCACGCCTACTCGAGGTGGCCCCGCCCACCACTGCAATGGAGAGCCGATCGATAAATTATTAATAATCATATTTTACCCGAAATGCATTCCTATCGAGATAGTTCTGTAATTTATTCCAACAATTTGTTTCGCCATTCACTAAATGTGAGAATACAAATTATAATCAGCTCTAGCGGAAAATTCACATTTTTCTATTCGCATAAATTTATTTTATTTTTTACCCTACCAGCAATTATGAATATACATATATTTAAATGTGAGCTTCCATTAATTGAGGCTTAAGTTCGAACACCAAACCGATGAAAATTTGTTAAAATAATACTTGAAATGTCAGCGAAACAAACATATTTCATGGAGCAAATCTTTGGAGGAAGCAGAGGAACAGAGAGACAGAGAGAGAAAGAGAGGGTAATAGAAAGAGGAGTGTAAGGAAAAATGAAAAAAAAAAGAGAGAGGTAGAGAAATACAAGAATGGAGTGATCTACATAAATAGAGAGAGAGATGAGATAATGAGAGAGAGAGAGAGAGAGAGAGCAAAAGAGGTCGAGCGAGAGAGGTAGAGAGAGAGAGAGAGAGAAGTAGAGAGAGAAAGAGAGCAATAGAGATTGAGCGAGAGATGGAGAGAGAGAGAGAGAACAATGGAGATTGAGCGAGAGATGGAGAGAGAGATAGTGAGCGACAAAGTGAGGCCGACGAAGGGAGTGATAGAAAGATGGAGAGGGAATATGAAGGAGGCTGAGAAATTTAGAAATGGAGGGAATGAGAGAGAAGAACAAAAATCCAAAGTGAAATAGAAAGTAAGAGGTTAGAGAGAATGAGCAAAAGATTGAGAGTAATAGAGAAAAATATTCAGAGAGAATAAAAAAGAGTATGAAAGAGATATAGAGATCATGAATAAGAGAATGAGAAAGTGAATGGGACATGACAAGACATAGCAAATGATACGGCTATAGCTCTAAAAACTTCCTGCTGCTTAAACACATATTCCGAGAGAGAAACTTTCGCAAAAGATAAGACCCCGTCTATAGATATATTTGCATATAAAGCAACTTTTTTCAAAAAAATGAAATAGTTTAGGCACCCAGTTGAGTACTTAAAACTCATATGCCAAAGCAAACAGCTTCAGTGTGAATATCTCTTGAAATTAACGCAAATAAAGTCAATTAGAATTGAGATAGCTTATCGAAATGTCTCCATCTCTGTCACGAGCACAAAATGAACTCGTCTAGTCCTCGCGCAGGTCTCAATTACCCCGTCAGACATAAATATCATCTTCAACTATCTGGCAATGCCATTCATTTCATTTTATTTTCAACTCGCACAGATTATGATCTGTTTATTGTGTCAAGTGTGCCGAGCCTCAGAGTTATGCATGACAAGATAGTTCCATCTCTCATCTCTCATACAAATGTGCGCAAAACAAAGACACTCCCTGTGGGCCGTCGACTCTCTGTTTGGCCGGCAATTATATTAAAGTTCGTTTAAGTAAATACGTAAAGTTTGCGAGACTTGCTGCTCACACCGGGCGGAGCTCGACTCCAGCTCAGCTCGACTACAATTGAGCTTATTTCCGGCGGAAGTATCAGTGTTTGGCAATTTCCGGCCAGCTTTTGCTTTCACATCGATTTTTCTATGCACAGCATCTCACCAAAAGCAATAACTGTTAATACTTATTAGAGGTCGAGCCATATGCCCAGCGGGCTAGGCCGGCCAGCCAACATCTTCAGCTTCCTCATCAATAATTGGCTCTAAAGTAAAATTAATGCCTTTGCTTGCCCTCGCCCTCGCCCTCGCCCTGCCCCCGTGCAAAATAATCATCATTAATAATTGTGTACATAAAATGCATTTTGACAGCATTCGGATATAATTTATATCAATTATTCAAATGATTTCGCTGCAGCTCTGTGGCAAGTGGCCCAGGCAAGTGCATCCAGAGCAGCAACTGCAGCTGAAGTCGTTATGCAAAATCTATAATGCTTTATTAATAATATCAAAGGCAGGCCTCGCTGCCACAGAAATTCGACCAGGGCAATCGTAGAGTGCAACTGAAGCGCTTCATAATAGCAGCAGACGGTCTCTGAGACAGTTCAAAGTATGCCTTGAGCTTGAACATAAACAAGGAAGGAGTCTGTGTCTCACTGGGAAATACTCTAAGCACATACACACACACACACGTACATACATTTACATATATAAGCTTCTGCTCTGCTTACTGGTCAGATTACGCAGCAGGAGAGCTTGGCCTGCAATCATAGTCTTTACTAAGAGAGAGAGACAGATAGAGAGGGATAGAGAGAGACAGAGAGAGACAGAGAGAGAGAGAGAGAGAGAGAGAGAGAGAGAGGAAGGCAGAGAGAGAGAGAAATTATTTTTGCATTACTTTTGCTCTAGATTCTCGCTCAGATTTAACCGCAATATGTCTAAAATTTCTCTTGTACTTTGGCTTAAGGCCTATGTAAATAATATTGTTAATTTAATATCTGCTTCAATTATATGGAGTTTCTACGACAACAGAAGTTTACATAAGGCGAAAAGCCGCACACCTTTAATTAAGCTCGAATACCTACAGTTTGTTTTTACGTGTTTACATACATACATATGTTCGTACATACTCAAAAATTTCATAGTTTTTTATTCTTCATAGCCCAGTAATTGCTGAAATGACTTACCTGCTGATGTCCTCTAATATGTTCCCACAAAGTGACTTGGGTTAGCAGCTACCCGTAATATCAAATGTCTGTGAGCCAAGAGAGGTTCTTCAGATTTCCAAGAGGTCAATTATTATCTGTAATGCAATTATTATCTGTAATAGGTCAATTATTATCTGCACAATTTCTTAGAACTGCGAACATCTACTTTCTACACGTCATCTCAAAAACATTTCACTTCAATTAATTATACAACACTGTATTTGACATTGGTATAAGTATCGATAATAAAGATATCAGCTATTGCAAATATTATATACTTATCGGCTTATAGGGGTTATGTCTTAATGTCTTCACATTTTCTGCTCATTTATCACTGCAACTCTGTCAACACTCTCGGTTTCAGTGCTCATTAACATCCCACTGAAAGGTATTATACAACACTGCTTTTGGCACTGATGTAAATATCGATGAATCGCTCTCAATAAGAATTCCACTCTAAACACACATTATCGATTCGTAAAACTTTACACACATTACCAATCCACCCTCTTGGCATTCCACACAATTACAGGGTATAGCTGGTAGTCAAATTAATGAATATATGTTTGGGTTTTTTCTTCGCTTAGAATCTCTCTATCTATTCAAAGGTTATCAATAGCAGCACTACGTCTCAGCCCAACTCAGCTCAGCTCAGCTCAGCGTAGTTGATAAGAGATTTCCAATTGCCTGTGGCTGAGGCGATCGAGTCTCATTGTCAGTGTCGACAGCTCGAAGCGTAAACATATTGAAAATGAAGAGTTTATTAATTCTACTCGCGCTCTGCGCTGGCTACACACTTTGTAACGGCGAAGGGCTGCTGTCGCGCCTACTGCATCGAGATGCATCCAAGACAACGACGACGACAACGGAGAGGTCCGTCAAGCAGCTGTACATCAACAACAACTTGCCGCAGCTGGAGAGCGAGTGCATCGGGCACTACGCGTGCAGCAAGAAGCTGACGAACGTGCCCGCGCCCCGGCCCTGCGTCAAGTACTGCCTGAAGCGCATCGAGTGCCCCAACCAGAAGGTGATTCGCGGCAAGCCCAACCAGTGCGTCGAGCTGGACGAGAGCCAGGTCTTGGCGGACTACGAGGCCACCACCGTGCGGCCCTCCTCAGCTGCCACCACCGAGAAGATCATGGAGGTGGCCATGATCGACTTCCCCTGCCAGCCGGGCTACCTGCCCGACAGTCGCGGACGGTGCCGCGAGATATGGTAAACCTCTATTCAGAATTACCTTTGTATAATGAAACTGTTGTGTTTGTAACAATAAAACAAAGCTAAGCCGAAACACATTCATTAATGAGCCAACCAACTGGGCGTGGCCTGACGTGACGCCCAACTATTTTGTCAACAATTTAGTACGCGAAAACATGTGTAGAAACAGCTCATAAACGGGTAAGTACTGGGGCCGTGGGCCAACAGCGACTGCCTAATACGCGCCTGGATTTTGGCTAGAGTCGGATTTAGCGTAGAGAAAGAAAGGATTTCGAGCTTATAGTAGATCATTGAAAGGATAGATCGGTAGAGAAAGTCAACAGTGCTAACAGCTCTTAGACTGTGCTCCAGAGTGACTAAAACCCAATCATAACATGCCCCATACTGCACCAGCTTACACAAAGTATATTTTTATAGAATACTATACAGTCATTCCCAGAGATCGACGGCGATACAGCTCTTTTGTTGACGAGATCATCTGTCTGTATGTGTAAGCGCTTCGATCTTAGAAACTGTAAGAGCTAGAGCAAGTCTCTAGCTCAAGACATATTCGAGCAGTTTCTACTATAACCTCATACTTGTTATTGATTGATATAATTATGATTATAATGATAAACAAGTTTACAAGAACAGATTCTTCAGTTGGATGGGGAAAGAGTTCAGACGGGCACAGCTCAGTTACTTAAGACTAGATTATCTAGAGAGACAAAGCCGACTTTATAAGTTTACCCTAAAGGTCTTGGTAATGAAAATGAAATTGAAAACGAATCAGCCAGAGAGAAGGCATATAGAGAAGCCCATACGACTCTAATCCCACTTTTATCTCTCTCTCTCTCTCTCTCTCACACACACACTCATTGCAAGCCATCGGACTAAGCAAAACTAATATGCCCATTCGATTTTAAAGAGCTAGCATAAATGAGTTGCTCTGTCGCCTGTTAACGGGTGTTGGAAATGAAAGCGCCGCCTTGGGCCTAGCCCGTGGCGGCACCTCGATGGGTGAGTGAGTGAGTGAGTGGACCAAGTGGACGTTTCAGGAGTCGAGCTAATATAAGGCGAGCTAATGACAAGGCGCAGACACAGCCGAGACGAGGTCAGCGAGTGCGTCGAGTCGTCGCATCACGTGATTCGAGCCCATTCCGTCATAGAAATTCCGAAACTCTGCGAGACGCAGCGCGACTCGGAGAGTGGGTGGATTTTTGATGTGTCTTCGTTATGTTAATTGTTTGGCTTTTGACGAGCTGCGTCGCTATTTTCTGTTATTGTTATTGTTGGCCCATTGTTGTAAGCCATAATTTGCGCGCTTATAGCTCTGAAATTTTAACAGTCAACTCAAACGCAACGAAACTTTATTAATTGACTGTGCGAACCACAAACTTTGACTTCATTTAAGCTCATTCTTTTTGTTTTTCTTGATTTCCGCTTCCGTCAGAGCGAGTTTACTTTTGCTTGTGTTTATGGTAATCAAACCTCTCCACCGCCCCGCCCCATCGCCACTCCGCCTCTCGCTGAACCGTACCTTAAGTCAAATTCCAACCAGCCGACACACCTGCCTGGCCCACCTGTGTCTGGGGCTGGCGTGGCATTTGGAAATTAAACCGCACTCGGCCCTTAAAATTTTATAACTTAATTTTTGCTCCACAATTTCTACCCTTCTCACTCACTCCAGCCCAGCTCTACCTCCCTCACATTCTCTCTTTATATATGTGTGTATGTGTGTGTTTTGTTTTCGTCTCGTCGCTGGTTTTGGCATTTTTGTGAACTTTTTGATTTGATTTTTGCTTCAGCTTTACTTCTCTGTACTCATTCTATAGCCGTTCATGCCTTGAGCAAACGGGTATATTGGTTTTGTGCAAAGCAAGTTTATCCCTCTTTGGGTGTGTATGGAATTTAGAAACTTATGAACACTTCTCTTACATTCATCAGTGGTATGGGATATACTTTTTACTTTGGCATACGTTCTATAAAATATTAGGCGCTGTTGTATATAGAGACTTGTAATTTGATATAGATATACCAAGAAGGCTAGTCTTATAATTGGAAGAAAATATTATGGATTACAGCTACGTCCATTGTACATATGGGATGAAAGGAAACTAAAATAATAATCGTTCGCCGAAATTTATGAATAATATTAAAAAATTTATATATGTAAATAATGAAAGCTTTTTGATCAAAGTGTTCTAGGACGTATATCAAATCGAAAACTCTGCGGACTCCAGCTCATATTTTGTAGATAGAGTGTTAGAACTAGAGCTCCAAGGTTTCACTTCAGGTATTGCTCGGTAATAAATGAGAATCAGGAATGGTAAATCAGTTCAAGTCTAAACAGAAAGTTCAAAGCTAAACGTTCTTAGCTTTTTATCACATATATTAAACTCTTCATTTAATTATAATATATTCCCATTATAATATAATATATTCCCATTATAATACAATATATTCCCATTATTAGATCTATCAAGTGAACAAAAAATTAAAAATTGTAAAATTTTCCCATTAACAGTTTGAACAAGTATTAAGCAGTTGCCTACGCCCGCTTGGCAAGCTCTCAATTGTTTTCTTCTGCTTCTTCATTTTTGTTTTGTTGCTTTTTTTGTGCATTGTTTCTTGTAGTTTGTCGTGGTATTTGTGTTATGCGTGTTGTCTGTTGGCGCACAATGGCGGGAAAGTGGCGCGCGATGCTATAGAAATTCGCCATGCGAATTACAATAATAAAGTGATGAAATTTATTTTATTTACAGGGAAATACTTACGAGCATTAGCTGCGCTGATAAGCATGATCTATGGAGGTACATATATACAATATATATAAGTAAATATGTGTTTACATGGGAATTCAAATGAGCTGCGATAAGGGCAGCGATTGTCGCAGGATTAGGCCAGCGGGCGTGCCAAAGAGCCATTTGAGTGTGATTGAAAGGCAGCATAACTCAATTGCTTAGCGGTAATTGTGCATTGGCAAGAGATTCAGAGCATTTGCCCATTATATGTCGTTTAGCAAACACCAAATGCCAGCTGAGCAGCTGTGATCAATAAGGGCAATAATGAGGGTATTACTTACCTCTTTAAATAGTCAGCAATTGCACAATTTTCCATAATTTAATAGCAGAAAAGTCACTGTAAAAAGGAAAAATCTATTTAGTAAACTAAAAAAAGTCTACTTGAAATTCCAGCCAGAGTATCCTCAATGTTCGATGCCTCGCCTTACGTCATTCCAGCACTTATCCTCTTAGTGACAAATACCCAACTAAAGAATCAGCCAACAGTTCACATACAATTCAATCAGCGTTGCGATCACTGCTGCCAATTCAGCTTTTTTCCCGTCAAATCTGGCTTTTTCCGAAGACAAATTGCGGGAAATATTTAAGAATTGCGGGAAGCGGGAATTCTGGCTTTTTTTGAAAATGAATTAGGCTTTTTTCGATTTTTTTTAATACTTCGATTTTTTTTAATACTGAAAACATGTACTTTGTATTAAATATTGTATATATTTTTTGTATATATCGAATGCTAATTGCCTTAGCCTAATATGTATATCGTTCGGATATGTAGCACTAACACACACTTAAGCTAAGTCTTGCACAAACCTCTGCGCGCACCATGGTTAACATGGCGGTTGCCACTTGTAAGAAAAGAGCATGTAGAATCCGATATGTA